TCTCTCTCTCTCTCTCTCTCTTTCTCTCTCTCTCTTTCTCTCTCTCTTTCTCTCTCTCTCTCCCCTTCTGTGTGTGTATGTGTGCGTTTTCATTGACTTTTTCTGCATGTCTGGGTGCAGAGAGAAGCCCCATCTCCACACTACTTCCCTCCATTCTTCTACCTGCACCTCCTCCTAAATCACATTGTGAATGTGAATGTCTACAATGGTGTGTTTAGTTTTCTGTGCTAAGAAACCAATAAGTTTCTGGCTCCAAGAAGCAATGGCTCCGAAAAATAAGAAGCCAAGCATTGGGGATATTTATACTGTGGCTAAAATATTTTCCATTGCAAGGGATCCCCACCTTGGCCCACCACACGTGTGGGTGAGCGCTGTCCATTGTGCTGAATAGTCACAGTTTGTAGTGATGGGGAAAGACAGACTTCCTGCCCAGAGTGAGGGGTGCAGGAGAGAGAGTTCAAAGTAGGAATTTCTATGTCTCAAATGTTCATCAAAACCTGGAGAAAACTTATCTGGATCCTGACTGGAGACTGCTGGACTCTAGATAAAGAAGAGAGGCTCTTGGGGACCAAGACAGGACTCTAAGCCTGGCGAGCTGGATTTGGAATCTCTGATGCGGCGAGGGAGTCCCCAGGATGAGCCCAGCCCCAGGGCTGGAAGTCCTGTCCCAGCAGGCGGCAGCAGCAGCAACTGTGAAAGCAATGCCTTCTAAGGCTTCCCGGGTCCCTTTTGAGGCTGTTTTATCTGAAAAGCATCTAGATATCACAGAGCCCACCTCAACAAGACCTTTGCCCCACAGACCTGGGGGTGCTCACTTCAGCCTCAGAGCCTGGCCTTCCCAGCTCCTGAGATCCAGTTACAGGTATCAAGTATCCTGATAAGGTGGCGTGCCTGCTCCTGCCTGAGTCCAGCATCTGACCCCACTGTGACCTACCTCCCTCCTTGACCTGGGCCTGACTCATGCTTCCAGAATGGAACCTGAAGATCCCTGCTGCTCAGCAGTACCTGACTCATAGCTGCTCTAGGAGTAGCTGTGGAAGGGCTCAGGGCAGCTGACAGCTCTCAGAGAGGAGATGCCTATCATTTCCTAAGCACCTACCATGTTCCAGAAACCAGGCACAGTGCCACATTTCATTGGTATAATGACCCTGTGGAGGATTTCTGCTCTTTTCTAGAAAGGAGGAAAGTGAAGTTCAGAAAGAATTATGCAGAGGTGAATTCAAAGGCCAATCTCCCAGCACTAAGTACAGCTACCCACTTACTCTCAGGGACCTCCCTGGGAAGAGACAGGTCCACCTCTAGGAGACACCATTTGTTCATTCATTCCTCCAATCAGCATTTATTGAGGGCTTCCTATCCTCTGCTTTGTAGCTGCTTGATCCTGGAGGGCAGCCCACAATAAGCCCACTCAGCTTTCCTGGAGAAGCCAGGCTTAACTAGGAAAGGGGGCACCTGGACCCAAGGTCCACCAAGGCAAAGACAGGTGTCCAACTGCCTGCTGACATGTTGCCTTGGTGGTCAGGGAGGGGTCTCTGGTTGGGACTGGGACATTAGTTGGGCAGTGTGCCCCTCCACCCAGCATGTGCTTCAGGGCAAGTGATGTGCACACTCTCCCCTGGCTCAGGCTTTGGTGGGTGGACAGGTGGGGGAGGCAGCTTCCTTTCATTCTTGTGGTTTCAGGTGCCTGGGTGATGTCAGGCCTGAGAGATGCATGGAATTCACTGTGTCTGGGGCCCAACTCGGGGCTGAGGCTTTTCTTCAAAAGCTTATAAATCACAAAATACTTCTGCTTTTATCTCAGCCCCAGCCCTGGCCTGGGAGGACTTGTCTCCACACACACACAGACAGCATCCCCTAGGCTTTCCACACTACTCACATGTGTCAATGGTGCTGCAGACCCAAACAGTCAGACCTGAGAGACCTCCTGGAGGTCTCTTATCCCCTACACTTTAGTGAAAACACAAGTACACACAGACAGTGAGAGCAGCCCCATGCACACACTCACAGCCCCCTCACACACACAGCCACGTGTCTTCATGTTATTCCCATGCTCACTGGTATTCCCAGGCACAGATGAGCTCCTACTTAGCCGAGTCCTCACCTCCTCCAGGTACCCACAGAAGCATGTGCCTTTCCACTATCACATGTGCTCTCGTGTGTACATACTCACAGGTATACAAAGGGCTTACACACAGGCAAAAGTCTGCAGAGACTACACATCATTCACACATTCACATGTACATTCTACACATACAGACATAGACAGACACTGACATCTGACAGTTTATACACACTCAACTCACACACCTACACAAGACACACATACTATGCCTAAGTGCCCACACACTCATATGTACCCCTAGACAAACAAGTGTGAGCTTCAGGGTGCGTGCATGCATGCATGACGTATTATGCCTAAGTGCCCACACACCATTCACACACTCATGTGTACCCCTAGACAAACAAGTGTGAGCTTCAGGGTGCCTGGGGTGAGAATGTGAGCAAGGAGTGGGGTATTGGAGCAGGCAGGAAGCTGCAATTTCCAGCCTCACCTCCAGGGGCCGCTGCCTCGTCCTCAGGCCCAGCCCAGTGGATCCGAAGGACAGAGGGGACCTCAGGCACAGTCCTCCCACAGCCTGAGGCAGCCGGTGGCACCGTGGGAACTCAAGCTGATGTCTGGTCAGTCTTCAAGAGGAGGACGCCTAGAGAGAAGACATCCCAGACCCCCTGCAGTGTGTGGGATGTCTCCAGGAGGGGAGAATGGGCAGCTTGAACTCAACGTGGAGTCTGAGTGGAGCGAGTGAGTGAAAGAGAACTGGAGGGAAGATGAGAAGCCTCTGGGGGGAAAACAAGAGATGGGGAAGGACTGGAGGGAAGAAGGAGAAGAGAGAAGGGGAGGGAGATGGAAAGGATGGTACCAGAGATGGAAAGGAAACCAGAGGGAAGGAGGAAGAAGAGAAGGGGAGGGAGGGTGCATGGAGACGGTGTGATGAGCCTAAGAGAGTGCCTTTTCCAGGAAGAGGAACACAAAGGGTGCGAAAGGGGTAAGGTTCCCCTTTCCCCTCTCCTGGGCTGACTGGACCACCCTCCACCCTGCTCCTACTATCAGCAGTCCCCTGAGGGATGTACTCTGCCTCAGCACCTTTGTCGGCCCCAACTTGCTGCCTGCCTGATACCCGCACGAGGACCACTTCCAATAAGACCCAGGTAGCAGGTATCCTGGGAGTGGGGGGCCACTGGGGTATGAGCATCCTTCAACCCAACTCACTCAGTTTCGTGGGCCTATACAGGGCTCTGTGGAGTCAGAAGATGAGCTATAAAATGAAAAGATGTGGAGACTTTCAGAGCTGGGCAAGTCCAGGGTTCTTACCCCTTTGTGCCTAATCTGTTATCCATACTCCTTGTCCTTTCAGCCCTGGAGGCCTGGTCCCACTCTCACAGGATTGTGTAGTGGGGCTGCTAAGCTGGAAGATTCTGAGAAAGCAGCCCAAATTACAAAGGAGATGAGGGGACCCTGGGCCTAGGATCTTGTCCAGTGGTTCTTCACCCTAGGCACACACCCAGAACCCTTCCCTCCAGCCTCTACCAGAGCATCCCAGAGCTGGTCATTATGCCCAGAGCCCACCTCAGTCTGTTTTATGGCCACTGGGGTCCTTAGTCCATGGGTTCTGCCTCTCTTGGTTTCTGTGTCCCAGAACTCAGGCCCAGATGGAAGAACAGTGACTGTCCCTTAATCTGACACTCCAAGTGACAGAGTGAAGGGCATTGTACTCTCCATTTTTCAAAAAGGATCACTGAGGTTCGGAGAGGTGGCATGTCTTATATGGGGGCCCGTGGAGCAGACCAGATTTTGAGGCCTTAAGGGAGGAGTGGCGGAGCCAGACCACAGTCAGGGCCCTGGCCTGCTCTTCCTCCAGCCCCGCCCTGTGCCTCAGCCTGCCCCCTCCCGCAGAGCCCCAACTCAGGTCTGCCCCGTATAGCACCCCATCTATGCAGGCAAGACCCAGTCAATCCCTGCCAAATGATTACCCTCATCATCCGACACACTGCTCAGCTCCTAGTAGGTATTTTATAAATACTGTCAAATAATTATTAGACTTTATTTTATTGATGGTGTATCTGGCTCCCCTCTCCACAAGTGCAGGTCAAGGAAACACTCGGAAAGGGATGGGGTGGCTGACATTTAGTTTCCTCTCAGGCCTCACCCCTCTGGGCTGCTCCCTCTCTGGGCCCTGCGCCTGCCCCTCTTCACGGGGTTCACAGGCAGCAGCAGGCTCACAGCAGCACCTGAGGCCCCAAGGACTATCGCTGGCATAGTAGGCTTGCCAGCCCAGCTGGAAAGTTGGGGGCACAGAGTTCCCTGTATGCCCTAATCCCCTCAGATATTGTAAGATCAATGATTGACCAAGAGGGCCTGGACACTCTCCCTACTGCCTGCCTGCAGGTCTCTGGGGACTCTACAGAGCCACCCAGAGGCCCAATAGGGTGACATCACCCTCTTCTCAACAGCTTTCCCAATTCTTTCATTTCCTAGAATAGCTAGAACAGGGAGATATGCATGTGGGCCCTGCCCTTGGAAAGTCTCCAAACTGGAAAGTGAGGAATGAGCCTGTTACTCAAGGCCCTGACAGACCCAGGGACAAAGCCAGACCAGTAGACAGACAGACGTGTGCTCTAGGATGACGAAAGCAGCACAGTAATAATGGCTACCCCTCATTAAGCACTTACTAAGTACAGGACTCCAAGCTAAGCAATTTATAGATGTTTTCTCATTTCATCCTTCCCATAAGTCTACAGGGTGAGTATAATATTTATTTTACAGATTGAAAAAGGAAGTTCGGAGCAATCTAGCAATCTGTGCAGTATCACACAGCTAACTAAATGCAAATCCAGATCTGTCAGCTCCAAAGCTATTGCCTTTTTCACTCCATTTCATGGCCACCCCAAACTCTAGGTGGGGCGTTGTTACTTCTCTTCCAAAAATGCCTTGAGGGCTCCCCACTGTCAATAGCATAACCTCTCCCAGCTGAGTCTCTCCACAATCTGGCCTCTGCCTGCCTTTCTGCCATCACCCCCATCCATACCCACCACACCTCAGATTTCAATCTTGCTATTTTCCAAGTCCAGCCCTCTGAGCTTAGCTTCTGCTGTGTACTCAAGTTCAAATGCCTGTTCCATTTTACAGATGAGAAAACAGAGAATTAAGAATGTTAAGTAACTAGCCCAAGGTCACGCAGCCGCCGGGGAGCAAATGAGCCTGGTTAGAACCCAAGTCATTAGAGCATCAACTAATAAAGCATTAATTTGTGTTACAGACAATTAGGGAATGAGAATTAGCAGGACATACTGTTAATGGTGCAGAAGAAGGTAGAGGAGAGAAATCAGGTAGGTTCCAAAGTAGAGGAGCGCCAGGCTAGGCTTCAAGGAATTACAGGGTCTGGATGGGTGGTGAGCTTGAGATGGGGCAAGCATAAGAAAAACACAAAGACAAGAGATAAAAGAGAAGGAGAGAGAAGCTTGTCAATGTGACATAGGGAGGCAACATGATATGGTGGAAAGGGCTGTGGCATGGGGTCAGGAGACTCATAGTGTCCCCCAAAATACTCCGCGATCTTGGGCAAAGGCTTCTCCTCTCTGGGAGGGTGCCCTGTCTGTAAGTGAAGGATATGAGCCTCGACGGTCTCTGGGTTCCCACCTGGCACTGACATCCTAGCATTCTGACTGTGTATTGCCACCAGGTCTTGAAACACAGATTCTGATGCCAGACCCATTGACATGGGGCACAGGCTTGCACACCAAGAGCCGACAGGAGCCAGCAGCCAATACCTGACAGGGCATACTTGAGGGCCAGCCCCAGTTACACGCTGGGAGTCATCCATGCGTCCCTCTCCTCCATGCATCTGTGCTGTGAGCATGTGGGGACTCACTACAGTGGGTCCAGTCCTGTGGAAGCTGAACACAGGGGTGAATGAGTCAAGGTGGAATTGTGGGCTCACGGGGAAGGAATAGGATATGCCCAATACTAGCTGAAATCCTACACACAGTTCATCCTTAGGAAAGAGGAAGGGAATGGGGATCCTTAAAGAAGGGCAGAATAAACCTCCTGGGAGTAAGGACATGGGTCTCAGGACTAGAATAAGCACTTGGGCACAAGAATGGTCTTCAATCAAGAAAGTACTTCATCTAAATAGAGAGTACATTCCAGACCATGAGCAAATGGGAAATCCTTCCTTTGGTGCCGGTAGTACAGCACAGACTCAGCTGGAGGGCTCAGAGCCAGCTGGGGCAGAAAGTGCACCCCTAGAGACTGTAGACACACATATGTGTGTACATGCACACACACACATACATAAAGACCTCCAATCAGGTCACCCATCTCCCCACCACCAGACTGGGCCCTTCAAACTGCTCTCCCTCTCCAGAGAACACGCCCTTCACATGACCATGACACGCAGCCCTGGAAGTCTGAAAGTCTTGCTGTCTCACCTTGCTCTCTCTTGCTGCAGTTCTGATGCACTTGCTTCTCTTCTGACTCAAGATGTGCCAAACAGAAACAGGCCCACCCACCTCTGTATGGCTGACTTCCACCTTCAGGAATGTGAACTCACTTCTTATCATTCCTGCCTGTTTGACCTCCAACTCTTGCCCTGAAGAACCCTGTCTTGTTCACTGTTGAATACTAAACGAAGGAATGAGTGAGCTCTTCGGAGCCCGCATGGTCCTCCAGTGGTCTGCTTCACTGGACCTCAAGATTCATCTCAGAGCTGGAGACTCGGGTGCGAGAGTGCCAGCCCCTCTGTTTTCTGGCTGTGAAACCTTAGCCTGAGTTTCCATGTTCTACAGAGTCACAGTGAAGATTACAAGACAACTGTCTGCAAAGAGCTTGGCATAGAACAGGACACAGAATAAGCCATCAGTGAGGAATATACACTTGTTATTAACAAGTGTCCTTAAACTAAATTCCCCTTCTCTTATCCCATCGTCCCTTCTCCAGCGTAGAAAGTCCTTCTTGAAGTCTAACTTTAAGCCTTTGTCCATGGACCAAGCCAGTGTTCTATCTTTGTTGGAGTCTGGGACTGAGGTGGATGAGACCACAGCGGCTGGTTGGAAGAGCCACTTCGCTGGGAGGGGACAGGGCCAGGAGGAAGATTACTGAGGCGCCAGGTCCAGATCTCTGCCATGCACCTGCCGCAGCTCCAACAGAGATCACGGGCCCGCCAATTTGCCCCACCCCATGATCTCATTGCTGCGTTTGCCAGGCGCTGGCTCAGTGAGCAGGTGCTGACAGCAAGGTCTGGGCACAGAGCCCGAGGACAAGATGCAAGGGCCAACAACAGAGCTCTCTCCACAGGGCTCAGACTCAAGGTCCCTCTGGCCTCCATGTGTGGCCTTTGGCTAGTGAACCGCCATCTTGACTCCTCCTTCCAGGCCCCTTCATGTTGCCCAGTAGCCTCCTTTCTGCAGCCCATCTCTCCCCAGAAGACAATGGCTGAGGGGAGAAGAAGCTTCATCTTCTTCCCCAAGGGTTAGTCTCTCCCTTCTCATCTCTTTCGGTGTCTCTCTGCTCCAAACTACTGGCCCCGAACGATGCTGCTGTTTAAATGCTGGGCAGGAAATAAATGGCCAAATACTGTCATTCTTGAGGCTGCTGCAGACACGCATCTAAATGCCAGTCATAAAGCGACTATGAATCCCCAAATATATGCCTCTGTCCCAGTTTCAGAGCGTCTTTAGAGGTGAGGACATACTGGGAGTCATCCCTAGTCCCAAAGTTCTCCAGTGTCTTCATCCTTAACCCCTCCTTCACCAGCTCACCCCAGGATCCCCTCTCCACATGCTCCCTCCCCACCACAAAATCCACTACAGGGGGCAAGAGAGCCCACTCCCCAGCCCTGGTTATAAAGGCTACAGCTCCTAGAAAAGCTGCAGCACAGGAGAGCAGGTAGGGACCCTGGGCCTTGGCCCTCATGCTCGCAGGGGTGAAGAGTTGTCTGCATCTAGGGCTCAGTCAGAAGCCCTGCTGGACCACAGGACTCCATTTGCCTCCTTATCAAAGGCAAAGCCCTCAGTTGGGACCCAAAGCTCTGTCTCTCAGGGTTCTCTTTCTGCTTCCTGTCGCATTGTCATCTCAGTCAGGCTTCTTACCCAGGCCTCCCTCTTCCCACCAGGAATTCCCCGCAGCCCTTTTACCCCTTCCTGCTTCTCAGCCCTGCTTCACTGCCCACCCCTCCCAGAGGGAGCCTTCCGAGATCTGCCCTTATTCCCCAACCCACCCAATGCTGGAGCTGGTTCTGCGGCTACCACCTTGGACTATGGCCTGCGGTGCACCTGTCTACCCCATACTCCAGAGAATGCCTCAAAAACCAGGACACTGCCTCTTCCTCAAATCCTGGGTCTGTCCCTCTGCCACCACTGCCACCACAGTTACACACACTCTGTCCTCCCCTCCAGACTCCTGGTCCTCCAGGCCTTTCTCTGTAAAGGAGGTAGATAGACTGAGGGCCCTTCCTGCTCAGGAGCTCTGTGAATCCAAAGTTTCTCTTCACCGCCTCAGGTCCAGACCCAGCCCCAGAGCCAGCCCTAAAGCAGCCGAGCATAGGAGAGCCAGACTGTGGACCTGCCATCCTCCCTAAAGGCACTCTCAGGGCCTAAGAAGGAGGCAGCAGGCCTTATTAGCATTCCCTTCCATTTCTCAGAATCTGCATCTGCCCCCCACGCCCAGTGGCCCCTCACTCCTCTCTCATCTCCTCCCTCATCTTTTTCCTCAGACCCCTCACAGAGCAGGCATCTGGATGGGCCACAGGCCAAACTGGACCAAACTCCTTGGAGAGGAAGACCTGGCTCAAGGCCGCACCACATTTCCATGTCATTTCCAGGTGGCACCAAGAGGACTGGGCCGGCGTACAGGTGGACAATCCCCATCCAGGAGGCAAGGCAAATTCCCAGGGTACCAGGTCACTGAGCTAGGGCTCTGGGGCATGGCTCAGGAATGCTGCCGCTGGGATGCGAGGTGCCTGCTACTCCCCGGCCTGCCCTACCTCCAGGAAAGCCTGTCCCTCCCCAGCCTGGTCCACACCCCACTGCTCCAGGAAGCCTTCCCTGGCCAACTCCACCTAGCTTACAGCACCCCTAGTCCCGCGTCCCCTCAGCACTTAGTTCCAGAGTTTTCCCCATATTCTTGTGCTTTGTTTATGTGCCGCTTTGCAAATGTTCTCATAAAGCCACATCTTCCATGGTCATTGCTCATTGTGAGAGTCCTCAGTGTTAATTAAACCCATTTTGCTGGAGGATTAGTCCCTGCCCTTAAAGAGTGCCAAGGAAGACTCTGGAATCTAAATTACATCTCCCTTCCTGAAATTTATTTTTCTTATTGATAATCAAGCAGTCTCACTGAAGAAACGATGAGCAGCTTCTTCTCATGTTCTAGTTCTTGCCTTGACTGCCAGGGAGGCCCCGGATAAGGTTGTACAGGGCAAAAATCTCTGGGGAGTACCTAGAAGAGGTCAGCTTCTCCTCAGGGGAAGCTTCTCCCTTTGGAGCACTGCAAACCCTTCTGAGACCAAGTTCCCTCTTCCCGGCCACTGAAACCAGGCTGAGTGCCAATGCCGTCTCCACCAACCTAGGCTTTCCCTCAGCCGCTACAGCAGGATGTAGGGAGAGACAGACCTGGGGTTCGTTCTCATCTCTAGCTCTTACTAATTGTGTGGACTTGCTTAAGTGGTCTGAACTTTGATTCCCCTATCTGCGAAATGATCACAATAAGAAGAACATTTGAAGAGAATGGTAAAGTCTGAAGTTGATATTCGTAAATCAGCCTGAAGCAGGTGCTATTGCATCCTCATTTTTCAGAGGAAGACACAGCAAGTCACTTCAAGGTCACATAGATAGTTCCAGGGGTGCATTAGTTAAATGGGAAAACCTTCAGTGAGTCCCTATTGAACCAGCTGGAATACTAGGCTTATCTGCTTCTCCAGATAAACTTAACCAGTAGGAGGCGGCGGGCCTGTAAGTGGGAAACACTAATACGATGGAGTAGGTTCACAGCTGTAAGAAAGTATGAACAAATTGCTGAAGACTCACAGAAAGGGACCAGCAGCCCCTCCTCAGCTCCTCCTTCTGAGTCCAGAGACTGTCGTAACTTCATTTCAATCATAAAAGACAATTTGGTGGGGTCAGCAAATGAAGCTTCAGTGGTAGGACTCCACAAAGTGTGGCTTGTCTTAGACCCTGTGGACTGGGCTGCTCCAGACCTAGCGCCCCATGGGTGGCCGCAGCCCCATGGGTGGCCCCAGAGCAGATCGGGTCCCAGGCAGCAGCCATACAGCCCCTCCAGAGTTGGAGGGCAGGGCCCAGACT